TGTGTGTGTGTGTGTGTGTGTGTGTGTGTGTGTGTGTGTGTGTGTGTGTGTGTGTGTACATTGATTCTACATATAAAACTTACATAGTTATCACCTTACAATTAACCATCTCGTCTTTTTTCTAAGTAAAGAAGTGAGATTTTGTTACTATTTGTGCTAAAGAACCAAAGATTCTTTGTCACTGACGTTTTGTGTTAAACGTATTTCTTTTGAACGTGTTTCTCTCAAAAGGTTTGGATATACGGAAACCTTTGGTGCTCCGTGTGGCTTGCGGTCGACGTTTGGATGTGCACGGCATCGATATTGAACTTATGCGCCATCAGCTTGGATAGGTACTTGGCTGTGACCAGACCAGTCAGTTACCCTCAGGCAAGTGCCACTCAGCATTCATGGGAATGATTATCCTAAGGAGATCAGAAGCGCGTTACGCGTCAATTTCGCCACTTAGTTCAACGCGTTTGTTCAATGATAATATTCCTTGTTGATTAAGGGCGATCACAAAATAGGACATAAGCTGCATAGCTATAGCTTAAGGCCGCTGAATCAATAAATATCTAACATAAAGACGCTATGCTGATTTACATAAGATGCTCATTGATTTAGAGAGCTTGCTATGATTATTAAGCTTATGTAATTTTGCATGTGATGGACACTTAATACTGAAACAAAAGACGCACTGAAATGAAATGAAATGAAAAAGAAGTTCTGTAGAGTTAACTTCTGTAAGCTAACAATAAAATCTTAGAATAAAGATCAAGACAGACCTTTGCATAACGCATAATTCATAAAACATAAGAAAATCAACCAATCAAAGTTTTTATTTCATGGAAAGGAAGGAAATGAAGGACTTAGGTTGATTCATTTTCTTATGCATTATGCGTTATGCGTTATGCAAGACTGTGTTCCCGCCCTTACTTTCAAATTTTTATATTTGCTGTTCGAATATATTTTATTCGCAATACTCAATTTCAGATGCATTGATTTTTCGTACTTAAGAAAATTGAACTAATAATAAAATAAGAAATATAAACTTGTGCGCATTGAAAAATAAACGAGAACGAAGTGAATATATAATAAGTGAAGAAATGTGAATTTCCTCTTCAAGGGGGGAATACAATATAATACGACTAATCGCATTAAGTTATCTATGCAATTATCGCGTCCCTGACGCAGATTTCCTCGTTAAGTGCTTCTTTTTTCTCCATTTTCATAAATCCAGCTTATGTCAACGAAGAGGGCTAGACTGCTGGTAGCCACCGTTTGGGTTTCGAGCTTCGTTATCTGTTTTCCGCCTCTAGTGGGCTGGAAGGACAAACGGGTGCGTACTAGCCACAGCTAATCCGCCGTTATTTCGCGCTGTTATTTCGGGACGATTTTCAATCGACGTCTGATCGACCCTGGCCGGATTTAGTCTGCACACGTTTTTAATCGTTTCTCTGTTCTCGTAGTCGCATACCACGTACAATGACACGTTTCCTCTATATGGCCCGTCCAACACCACCACTATACTTGTGCCGATGAAGCCATGCCCATGGATCTGCGAACTGACCAACGACGCCGGCTACGTCGTTTACAGGTAAGTCCCTCAAAGACCCTTGGCTCCTCATTATATACATATTGAATTATGTCGCGTAATATTAATAGCGAGAAATTTACATAGATACTTTTTTCTTTGCTTTTATATATCGGGATATATCACCTTTTCATTATCCGGCTAAATACCAGAGTGCCATAAAAATGGTAAAATGTGTCGGGAAAAATTCTTTTAATGTTTTTCCTGTATTAAAGAGACGTTATTCAATTTATCGGCGTAAAATTAATTTATTTTAACATACGTTGTAGGATCAAAATACAGAATAAAAATCGTGTTTTAAACATCTTTTTATTTAGATATATAAAAAAAATATATACATAACAATATGTATTGTATAATAACAAAATTTATATAAATATATATATATATATATATATATAACAAAATATATGCAATTAAATTTTTCATATAATAGATACATGTATTAATACCTAACACGTATTAAAATCTGAAAATTTATGTAATATTGGAATAATTTCGAAGACAACAATTTCGCCAATTAAAGATTATAATTTTGAAGCACACATATTGACATTTTTACAAGATAGAAACATTCTCTTTTTGTATAAATCACTCCTGACATTTTACCTCTGTTTTAAAAATGGATAAGCCACTTGAGAAATCGAGAATTATATTACAACAATAATATTATACAACATTAATTCTAAATTAAATCTGAAATAATTAAATAAAACTCTATACAAGGCAATAAGCTTAGTATGTTGTTAATGCACAATCTAATTTAGTTATCCAAATCAAATTACAAATATATTCCACGTTTCAAAACCCGTTCTGTGAGAATTGAATATATTTGTATGGAATATATTTGTAATTTGATTTGGATAAATAAATTAGATTGTCGCACTAACAACGTGCTAGGCTCATTGCCCTTGTATAGACTTTTATTTAATTATTTATTTGTTCAAGCCTTAAGAGATAATTTTTAAATCTGAAATTTTATAGATTATAAGAGACTATACCAATAATAACAATTAAATTAAAATATGTAAAATTTTCTAGCTTGAGATTGCTAAGCAAAAATTAATAAATTGAAAGGTAAAAAAATAGAGATAAAACAGTTTTACCTCTGTCACCGTATTATATACGTCAATCAGGATGTTATCTATATACACTCTATATGATACCGATCAAAAAGCTAATATATAAACGACTGATACGTTTTGAGTGCTTGCCAGTGACACGTGTTTCTCGATTGAATCATCTTGTCCATTATTAAAACCAATAGCTAAATTAATATTCGCGATAATATATAACCTCATCTATGTATATGTGTCAAACTGCACGAGCTGACTACACGTAAAAGTATCCGATATGTTATCGCGAAGTGGGGAACTATCAGCAGTGTGACAGGAAATCGCAACTGTGTTGCAGTGCTCTAGGCTCCTTCTATATACCAATGCTGGTGATGCTATTTTTTTATTGGCGGATCTACAACGCCGCAGTTTCCACGACGAGAGCTATTAATCAAGGTTTTCGAACAACAAAAGCCTCGAAAATGCTTGGCAGCAGGTAAACTTCCACGTCATTTTTTTTTTAAACTTTCGTTTACTTGACTAAATTTATTTTTTACAATTTTATAATCCATTTTTATCGCACATTTATTTGTGTTGCTTTTGTGCGATCGATGTACAATAAATATTGTAAATATTGATCATCTTGCATCAATTATCTTTTTAATCATGCATTCATATAATTTTAAAAAGTTTATATTAAGTTTAACATTTTTACATGTCTCAAACGATCCATCCAAATAGTTTTTGTATTATGCAGTTTAACACAAGATGAATATGTTAGAACACAAACATTATGTAAAAATTAACATTAAAAAATGTAACACTTAGATACAATTTAGAAATAAATTATAGAAATATATTTTTCTTCAATAAAATTATATTTATATTTGTTACTTTTTCAATAAATTAATATGTATATTCATCTTTTACTTATTTATCTTGAAATTTATGCTTTACTATATAATTTTTTGTTATTTATTCACTTACTTGTAAATTGTATTATTTTAAGAACTATTAAACATTAATTTAACACTAATATGTTAAAAATTTAATATAAAAATTTTTATAAGGACCAATTTTAACACAAATACAAAACGGTTTTTACTGTATATCTTATCATATGTTAATTATTCTATCAATATAATTTTTTAATGTTATATATAAAACAAATCATTATCTTTTATTATCATTCCCTTTTAATAAAATGGGAAAATAAAATTTCCTACATTTAAATATGTTTTTCCACTCTTTGTTCTCTCGAGTCGTCGTTTCATTCGCGGGTCTGCGGTTGAGCTTCTTCTCCGTGAGAGAAAGGAAGTCTTTCTATAGAAGCTTTATGCTGCCAACAGACATAAATGCCTATGAAAGAACGCATTTTCCTATTCTTATGCAGGTTCGATGAACAAAGACTGACCTTACGAATTCACCGTGGCCGAGGTAGCGTCCACAACGGCAGTAACAACGGCAATTCGAGAAGTCCGGACTCGAGCAGCCGCAGCTCCGTGAAGCGAGAAAAGATCAAGATCTCAGTCTCCTATCCCAGCACCGAGACGCTCAACACGAAGTGCAACACCCTCGAAAGGACACCGTCGAGATGTTCGCAAATCTCGGTCCATTATAGCAACGGACAGACGCAGACGCAGCTTTGTCCAGCCTCGCGAAACACGCATCTTAAGGTGAATTAGATCTTAATGAGTTCCATTTACATGACCTATCTGAAGATGTAATTAACTGCTTCAGATGCACGAATCCATTTTTAATTTTCCGACCTTGTTCTTTTTTAAGAAATGGTGTTTTACTCCTTCAAGATTACATTCTTAACATATAATAATTTTAGCATTTCTATATTATAGAAATTATTTCGAAACGAACTATATTAAAGATTTATATATTTTTTATTACTGTATAAAATTATAATATAATAACACGAAGTTTGAAAAGATAGAATCTACGGCTTTCCGTTGGAAGTGATGTTGGACATGCGTAAATTTCACATTCCAGCATCACATTCCTGATGACATGTTGTCGCTGCAATTTTAAATGCATATACTTTTTATTGATGACTAATCGATAGCATTTTGCAAAATGAAGCGAATCAAGGATCACTTTTTCGTTCAATAAAACCGAGGCACTCGGTCGATCGAACGTGGCAATCGAGCCATATAAATTTACTCTTTTTCCTCTTTTCCCTCGCTGTTTTGTTTCACGAGGATCTCCAAGCTTTTATTTGACGTTTAAATCGTCGATCGTGATTATTCTCCCGCATGTGAGTCGGTATCGTGCGGATTTACAGACGGATAAAACAAAACAGGATATGGACACGTACTTGTTTTGTTGATGGCTTTCATGT